AAAAAAAACAAATATGTAGCTACAAGTTATATATTCATTAAAAAATAACTGAATGTATGTATTAAACAATTTTACATTCAAACTTGAAATAGTATTTTCTTTGAAGTGTAAAGCTTTTAAATTAATTTAAACTGTAAATAAGCTTTTCGATTATATTGGTCTCAGAGCCCTTGGGAAGGTTAAAAACTATATTTCCAACATCTACATAAACTTCTCTTTCTCTTCATCAGAATCGGTAGAAGTTAAGAAAGTACCTCGAAGGTGTTCACACGGGTTTTGTCAGGACGGGGCCAAAAATCAATATCTTTGCATCACACGTTTGGGTAACTAGTATTCAAAAGATGAAGCAAATGTGACCATAATTAGGATTCTTTAGGATATCTCTCAATCCCTGAGCCCCCCACTGGAAGAAAAATCCTTCCATAAACTTTTCCACAAAATAACAATCATTCAAAGCGATTTTGAAATCTGGGAGAAAATTCTTTCCAATTGAATGATTCTTGCCATTTTATGATTTTTATATGTAGGTGTATCCATAAACTTATTATGAGTAGTTCTAGAGATAAGCGATATGGATAGTGCATTTTGTATGGGAGGAGCGACATCCCCATTTAGAATACAAACCACTTTTCGCCATAAGTACGTTAGCAAAAGCGGTCCATAGATAAGCGATATTTGAAATTTGGAGATGCCACGCCCCCTTTTCCAAAATCTACCATTTTTCGCCATAAGTACGGTATTGTTAACATATGTAGCTGTTTCAAAATTCAGGATGTTAGCATAAGCGGTTCCAAAGATAAGCGATATGAGAATTCCAGTTTGTATTGAAATTGCCACGCCCCCTTTTCCAATAACTATCATTTTTCGCCGTAAGTAGGGTATTTACAATTTATGCATCCGTGCCAAGTTTCAGTTCCCCAACGTAATTGGTTTTAGAGATACATCAGTTTTCACATTTTAGTCTGTATGTCATATGCCACGCCCTCTGTATAATGGGGTTAACATTTCTGGATTAGAGGAAGTTATATCCTTTCAAGAGAACGGTGCCCCCAAAAAGGGGGTTACAAATTTTATTGTGGCGTATTTATATATAGATACCGTCAATATACCGTTTTTGCTACAAACCCTTTTCAAAGGACCTCTGGTGTCGTCTAATCGATCCTTGATCAAGGTAAGTTTTTGTATGGCCACTTTTTACAACAAATCTTAGCATCTGAGCAATAAAAATTTTTTTTTTCCGGCTAACTTGTATGAGGCGACCCACTGTGCGTCGGTTGCCTGACTACCAGACATTATGATTTGCCTGCGTGTCGCTTGTGCGAGAAGGCTGCTATAAAACCAAAAAGTGACGCGCTCCTGCCTCAGTAAAAATTGTGGCTTTGTGCAGATTACTACTAAACAAAACAAAAGAGCAGAGAGTTAAAAATCAAAAGAAAGTAAAAATTGCAAAGAGTTCTAGTTAAGAACTGAAGATATACAAACAAAGCCACTGTGAAGTTTTAGCAACATTTCGAGTGAAAACAATAAATCAACAAGATGCCTAACACATTCCCAATCAAGCCACCAGCACAGATGCCCTGCCCGCACTGGAATCACTTTCCTATTCATCCACAAGTGCAGGTTACATTCGGCAGCAGCTGCAACGGTCCAAACAGCCCATCATCGCCGCCACCAACACCGAGCTCATACTCCTACTGCAGTGCTTGCGATGCCATGCAAAAGCGACAGTCTTGAGCTATGTTTTTATGTCTAAAGCCTCGGCGCAAGTTATAAAAGTAAATACTAGTTATATGGCAAGAGCAGTTCGTGGCACAGCGTCGAGAAAGGGGCAGCGGAAATTGAAAGAGCTAATTGCAGCCAATAGGCGTCAAGTATAAGGCACACATTTGCCTACAAGAAGCAGAAAAGAGACACAAAGGATTCAAGGGGCAATCACCTGTCGCCAAGAACGGCTAAATTCCGATCTATAAATAATTCGAAATATTGTAGGCGTAAATAAGAGATATATTTTTGTAAGCACTGCAATGAGTGCATTTAGAGTGGAGTGTTAACGCTCAGTCAAAAAGGCCAACACCCAAAATGCCGCTAAACCAGTTTTTGGATAAAAAAAATATGAATACGCATTACTGATGTGGTTTTATAGAAGTACTTAATTTTAAGTTCATTAAAACTAATAACACACTTGTGTGATAAGACGTCATATAGATACTATATTAATATTTTTAGGCCATAAATATTTACTTAAATACATATGTACATACATATGTTATTTTTAAATGATCACTTACACGCGTCGGTTATGAGCTTAACTTCATCAAGCAAAGGTAAAAGGTTTTGTCATTAGTTTATGACGATATAAAGATTTACAGATGCATTCGATAGCAAGTAGCCGGTTGTTTAAGCACAAGAGTTTTGCAATGACTTAGACCACTTTCAAAAAAATTATGAACATATTTGTAGCCACATATATAAAATACTTATAATAAAATCAGACTTATAGCATGTAGCAAACCAAAAGCCATATATACATATGTATCTAGTATATAACCACTTAAGCACATAGAGAAGATGTGTTAAGTTTTACATGTAAACACTTTACTCGAGTGAATAAGTAATCAAACGTTCTTCTATGGATTCTTCAAGACTGTAAAAATAAAATAGCTACATAATCTTGGAAGTTTTAAGATTTTTTTTAGCACGTATGTTTATTACATAAGTGTATGTACTTAGTATATGTGTATGTACATTTGTATATGCAAATGATTATGAGCAAATAAATTTCTATTTCAAAATCAATTTTGTTTACTTTCAGCGATTTTTTTATTATTTCTTGTATATTTTTCTCTAATACTTTTCTAACAACGGAAAGCAGTCTGCTTTTGCATGCTTATCGCAGTTGCCGCCAATACGAGGCGTTATATATTTACATTAAGGTGGTCCAAAAATGCATGTGAAAAAGTTAAGTCGGAATTTTTACGCTCTCACTCCCTAGAATTGTTCTATACCGAAAAAATAAACCATTATTTTTTTATTTTGAAATCAAAAAATATTTAGAGGTCGCTCAAAGCCCCCAAAGTTATCCATGTATTTTATATATACATATATACAAATATTGATTTTGAAGAAGTCTATACCATTTCTACGAACAAATTTTCCTGTATAAAATTACGTGAAAAACTTTAAGCGACCTCTAAATATTTTTTGAATTCAAAATAATAAAATATGGGTATACTTTCTTCGATATAGAACAATCCTAGGGGGCGAGAGCATCACAATTCCGACTTTACTGTTTTTGGACCACCCTAATGTACATACGAGGTGTGTTCAAAACAGTTACAATCTCGTACGAGTCTGAACTTATCATAAATAGTCAGAAGTCGTTCCCGCACACACATTTATAATATCTTCAGTACAATTTTTCGGACTAATTCTGAAAAGTTCGGCCTCGAACGGAATCGCAACTATATAGTAAGGTGAATTTTGAAATTTCGTGGACTACAGATATTCTAGTTTCAATTTTTTATTTTGTTGTATTGGAGCACTAATGATCATATCGATTTCAGTGGAAGATTGACCTATCTCGGCAGCAGGTTCGAAAGCGACCTATCTCAGAAAATAGCCCTACTTCAGAATTTGTTTGAATAACACCCTATCTCAGAATTTTGTTGAAGAACGCCCCACCAAGGTTTTCTTCCATATAAATTTTTATTTATTTATAAATTTTTTTTTATTTTAAAAAATCAACGTTAATTTTTAGCGACTTGAAACTCCCACTTTATGATACTAAAATTGAATGGGCTACAAAACTGCATATTCAAACTAGGAAATCTGGTTTAAAAAATCGAAACTTTGATGAATTTTTTTTTTAAGTTTTGTGAACTTTTTGCAAGCTTTTAAACTTTTATGTATGCGGTTTCTGATACAGTTCGTCTCATATTTTAAATTAAAATTATTAACAACAAATAAATAAACCTAAGTTACCAACTGAATTTTACTGCTATTAGTTTACTCGCAACTCGTATATGTATATTTTTTAATTTAATTCCTTTTCTTAATTTAATTTTTTTAAATAAATTAAATGTTATGCTTTTAAAAAAAACTTATTACATTGCCTTATTTTTTAATTTAATTTGTTTCTTCGTTTAGCATAATTTTCTTTTAATTTTTAGATTTTATTGACGATTTTCTACTTTTGAAAAAAATTATTAAAGAATTTGCACCCAATTTTGTGTAAAATGGAATTAAGTGCTCCAAAACAATAGAAATGTCGATAGTGGAATACGATGAGTCTGCCCTAAGTAAAAGATGTTTAGTAGTGGTAGGTACAAATTTTCCAAAATGACCGGGGAGATGCTAAATGACGAACTTCGCTATACACGTCCCCAGTACTTCAACAACTGGTAAAAATATTAAAGAAATAAAGAAAATAGTTTTGGGGAATCGTCGAATCAGATTAGAGAAGTTGCTGATACGTAGGCATCTCAGTTGGTATGTGCCATGAATTTTTTTCAGAACTTTTGGGCATGTTACGTGTGGCATCGACATTTGTACCGGTAATGCTTAATTTTGGCCACCAGAACTATCGAACGAACATCGCTCAGACTTGGTTAATGACGTCAATAACGATCCTTAAATGCTAAAAGGGGTCATAACTGTTGACAGATCAGGGGTATATGGTTATGACGTCTAAACCAAAGCCCAATCAAATTTAAGAGTGAAGATCGAAATCGCTGAAGAGCTCAAGGCTCTACCAAAAAGTTCTTATCAGAAGCGCTTTTAGAATTGAGGAAAGCGTTGGCATAAGTGTATTATATCTGAGAGGGAATAACTTTGAAGAAGATAACATTAATATTCATGAATAAATAAAGTTGTTGATAAAAATGAAAAGTCACCTTACTTTTTGAACACACCTCGTACTTACATACATATGTACATATAACATATTAAGCACATAACATGCACGAGCACAATCAGTTATTATATCATGGTTTCTACAAGCAACGCAAACATCTGAGAACCTTTTGAAGAATGCTTATTGCTAATGTTTAAGTTGAGTAGACCAAGGTCATGAATAATTTAATATGTAAGTATAAACACACATACATATGTACAGTGGCGTAGCGAAAGGGGCGGCGGGGGTTATTGGGGGGATACATCCCGCCCTCACCCCTTCGTCAATAAACCAATACTTTGTATACCTTTGATTTAACAACACAATACCATTTCATCCTTCTGATTTGTCATTTTTGAATTTTTCCTTTATGAATTCAGAAAATACTAAACCCTCAGTAAATCAGAAAGATTTATGGGGATTCAAAGTTAATGCTAGTAGTATGCTGTAACATTAAAGGAAATTCAAAACGAATTTTACCGGAAAATTTACGTGATGGAATTTTTTATAAATTTTTTTTTTTCGTAGCTTAGTACTAATACCTACCCTAATTTCTAATTCGTTTTTTTAAGGGAGATACCATGCTGTTGTTGTTGTGGCAGCATACAAGTTCCCCAAAGAGTTTTTGGGGACTGTAGCTGGAGTGGCCAAATATAAATCTGGGTCGTTCCGGTTACGTAGATACAGGCCTCGGTTATCTACGAAAGTCTGGAATGGTATTCATGATCTTTGTGAAGAGGAATCCAAATTCGAAGAGGAAGAGCAGTTAATCTACACAGAAAAATGTATATGAATAAGTATATAACTTCTAAAACAAAGGATTTTTCCTTATCTAGCAAAATACGAAATGGTATGACTGAATAGTATTTATGATCTTTATGAAGACAAACCCTACTTCGAAAAGAGAATGCGCACTTTCTCCAAGAATTAAAATTTATAGATGTGTATAAATTTGCTTAGTGCTGATTTTGAATGAAGAAAACTTATAAAGATCTTAAAGCTAAATTTGTAGAAGATTTGTTCTAATCATGAAATACAAAAAAGAAAACAGGATAAAAAAGGAGTCTACACGCAGAGCCTTAAAAACCTATTTTATAATATACGTTCTTTATTAAGAGCATTATAAAACCATTATAAGAGTACAGCCTACAAGTAGTCTTACAAAACCCTTATAAAACCGATTGGTCTTCACACATAGACAAGAAATATATAGCGGTAAGAATGGCTCATATACAGTGGTGGAAAAATAAATAGGCACACGACATTTTAACAAATTTTTCCCATTTTTCTTTTGTTTATTTAATATTTATTAGTTTTTATAAAAGTATACTTCATTATCTAATAAAAACCATATAAATTTATATTTCAAACTTTGTGCAAAAATTATAAAAATTCTGCAAAATTGCTTCTAAATATTAAAGAGTTTTTTTGAGTATGCAGTTTTATAGCCCATTAAATTTTAGTAGAATAAAGTGTAAGTTTGAAGTTTCTAAAAAATCGCGTTAATTTTTGATAATTTTTATTCTGAATGTATTACGCACTTCTTTCCATACAAAAAAATTGTGGAACATACTTTTATGGGAGACAAAATTTAATGGACTCTAAAACTGCATACTCAACAAATTTCTAAAAAATCTGATTAAAAAGTTGCAAGTTTGCAGATTTTTTATAATTTTTGCACAAAGTTTGAAATATGAATTTATATGTTTTTTGTTAGATAATGGGCTATACTTTTATAAAAAAATAATAAATATTAAAGAAACAAAGAACAAATATTTGTTAAAATGTCGTGTCACTATTTATTTTCCACTAATGTATGTATGAAAAATTACACAGGCGACGCCTCTAGCCATTGAGGGTCTCACCTTTAAACTATCGCAGAAGTTTTTTTTCATAACCCCCCTTCACGAAATCCTCGCTACGCCACTGCATATGTACGTATGTGTGTTCAATCAGCTTAGTATGAAATATAATGCACACGTTCTTCAGAAGTGTATCAACACAAAATTTCCGATTGTTAGAAAACGCAAACACACCAATTTTTTTAAGCTCATCTTAGTCAAATGTGGAAGGGTGGCTTTACTGTGGGTTTCAGCAAAAAATTAAATCAATATATTGCACCAGGTTTTGATTTTAGGTAAAGGTAGGATTTAAGAACTTTTTTAGGGAAAAATATCAAAAATTAAAAATTTTAGTTAATACGCCAAGAACCGGTTGTATAACTTTATGCGTAGGTATCTCATCAAACCACAGAAAAAATGTAATTGTTGAGCGCTGATGTCCCATAACGGACGAAAACTGTATGACTTCGCTGGGTGGGTAGTATTGCATTCTATTGGTATACCTATGTACATATATGTACATACATAGGTCCCAGCATACAGAGGTCCATCAAGCTACGTGGCTATCTCCAGAAAACGATAAGTCAATCAATTATGTTGTGATAGACGGAAGGCATGCAGTATATTGCGCAGAACTGGTAATTCATAGGTCCTTTAGGCTATCAGATCACTGCAGTATCTTACGAGCCCAGGACTTTTTAAAAAAGCAAGCGGCAGAGATACAGCATGAAATTAACCCGAAAAGCGAGCAAATAAACATTTACGTAGATAGTTAGGCGACCATTAATGCTCTACTTTCATATGAAACCAATTCTATCGCCGGCGCCGACTGTAATGAGGCTATAAGAAGGTTAGCTGTATATCAATTCCTCTT